TGTATATTTTTACGAGTTGTGCCGTATTTTGACGAGCCCGTAGGGCGAGTCAAAATACAAACAACGAGTACAAACATAAAGCGATACTACACACCAAAACATCTAATAAGAGATTTATTATCCAACTGCTGTGGTCAATAAATTTATCAGTTAAAGAGGGAGAGTATGACAGTTTTGCGTGCGCGCACCGACCTGTAAGGCAAACAGGTTTTCTACTGTACAAATAACTGTACTATATCGCTGTATATTTGTACTGATATTTGGACGGTATTCGCTGCAGTTGAATAATAAATAAACAGTAGCGTCCATTTGGCGCGAAAATATCCTAGGATATTCTGTCCGCGGACATTATATGTTCCTCGAAGCTCAGTTTTCCTCGAGCTACGTCCTCGGAAAACTGTTCGCTTCTCGGAATAGGTAATGTCCGCGGCCAAATATCCCATCATATTTTCGCGCCAAATGGAGGCTATTGTTTATATATTCCTCAGGTAATGTCCGCGCCAAATATCCTAGCATATTTTCGCGCCAAATGGAAGCTATTGTTTATATATTCCCCAGTTTTAGCTGGGAAATATTCGGTCACGTAACGCGTATAGACCAATCGCGCGTGAGCGAAAATATTTCATGGATTATAAGGAGGTATATCTATGACAAAATTCAATACTAAATAATTGATATCAAATCATCCAAATTGTGCATGCATCAATCCAAAGCTGAATGGCAACGTATATAGCCGATTCTACAATGAAATATGTATTTAAGGCGAATTCTTCTGCAAATTGACTGAAGTCATAGAGTAGCTGGCGCCTGATAATGTTTTCTCTTGTCACGGGAGCAGGAATGAATTTCAAACCTTGGGATAGCAAGGTAGTCAGCTGTGTATTTAGCAGGTTTTTGATATGTTGTTTGAGTGACTTAAGTTTTGAAAACGTTTTTTCTCTTTGATTTTTCTCCTCCGCTATAATCGTTTGCGGCTTTTAACCGCTTTGTTATCAGGTTTGTTTCTTTTCCCTTTCTCCCTTATTTCTAAAGGGTCAAATAAGACAACAGGATAAGATTCACTTATTTTTATTCTCTGTTTGTGATCTCATTTGTTCCAGTACTGTATCGACCTCTCTAATCTTGGCTTTCTTCGGTTAGCTCGTTCCCATTCATATCTTCGTTCGCATTTGTATTTCTAGCCGTGCAGGAAGACTGGTTGGTTTCTTGGTTACTTCTGCGAGACTTAGCTCGTTCGAGCTTTCTGTACTTACTCTTAAGTCTTTCTACGCGCCTGTAGTGAAATTGCACTAGGGCCCCTACAAGGGCCTGTTCGTCTTTCTTTCTTATGGAGTTTATGTCTTTCTTAAAGTCCTCGTCGGGCTTGATGTTCGCCCGCGTATTGTATCATAAAGTCTTTGGGCATGAGCCCTTCTCCAGGTGAGTATTCAGCACCTGATAGAGTTATTGGAACTGTCAATCTTCTCCTGCTTTTTCTATCGGAGCTGCCGGTAGTTTTGGCGGACTTTGGTGGTACTTCTCTTTGGCAATTCCTGCCTCTGTCGTTGCCCGTTTTCTCAAAGCCTGCAGGCTCTTTGGTTTTGTGTTCAGGCTTCATTTGGCTCGAAGAACCCCTACAAAAACGAAAACCTACTACGAAAATTACTTTTGGACCAAAGGATGGGACTCTGTGAAAGGGGGATGCGGATGGCGAACGGCGGACGGCGGACGGCGGACGGCGGACAATCCGACAAACAATAAAAATAAAAATAATAATTATGCTGGATTCTTTGACTCCGGCTACCTGGTTTCTCTCTCTTTTTGTTACGGCCGCAATAGACAGTAAATGCTAAATTTTGATTTAAATATCACTTTGTCCTTGTTTAAATTACTGGTCAAATGACCTTCGTTGTCGTTAGTATTTGTTGTTACTTGCGCGCTCTTGTATTATATTGTTGATGCGTAACATAATCTCAGTCTTATTTTTGTATCCTCTGAAAGAAGCAATGTCACGATCTTTTAAATGGAGAGAAATCTCAAAAAATAATCTCCTAAGGCAGAATGACACCAAAATTGTAATAATAAACCAAAAATAAATAAGGATGCCACGACTGAGAAAGATTTAAACTGATTACAAACGACAAACATGACAAAATCGCAAAAAAAAAAAGTCGATCAAAACCGAAAACCCGAAGAGTATCATGCTGCGGTTCCCTTACTTCACTGTTGACTATATTGTCGTTTATTATATATTGTCGTTCATTATATATGCGAATCAGGGATTGATTTTTCGTTTCACGAGAGCAGTGCGACGAGGTCTCACCGATACTTGTTGGTTTCAGTTTTGTCATATCATCAAAGTTTCTAAAAATGACTTTACTTCGCATTTACGTCGACAGCGCCCCGCAAAGCTTATCCTCGTTGTTCGCTGCAACACAAAACAAATCGCGTGTGTTTTTAATTCCCTTTTTATTCCACCTTTTAAAATACCATTAAGTTCTTATTCCAAATTACACGTTAGATTTTATGACTCCGGCTCCACCCTATGCCATTACTGCTGTACTAGCTTGCATTTAAAATTGTATTAATGCATACTCAAGTCACGGGCTGAATCCCATATAAAAAGGACAGTGACGCTCGTTTTTGAAAAGAACCCTTAAGAGGTACCGAGATCCTGTTATGTGGAAGTTGGTTGGAAATTTGTTTCACCCTTAAGAGCTACCAATTCTAAAACAACACATTATCTGAAACTTTCATAATTTTTAATAGCGGTAAAGACGATTGCCTCGAATGCCTTCTACTCGTAAACTTGATTGTCAAATATCTCCTTTCGTAGTTTTTCTGCTCAGTACCCTAACATGTACCGCGGAAGCTCCCGCTGTAAACGCTAACCTTTTAACGCTGAACACACCAAGAGGAGCCAAAACCGCTTTTTTAGCCTCTTAATGGTACGACGAGCACCGCCTTTCTTTCTATAAGGGAGATCCCGCGGGACTTAAGTACACCATTACTACCCAGGGACACACGAAGGATCGCTTCGGTAACTTATCCGTTTGGAAGGCCTTCAATAATCCCCTCAGATTTTCTCAGATAAATGTCATCTCGAATTTTCGTGATATGAGAATTTTAATGCCTGTTGTTTTTGGAGGGATAAAAATGTAGTTTTGGGTATCGAGAAAAGGTCAGCCATCATTTTCGGTTTCCTGGAAATGGACTACAAAGCCCTAAACAAACTCAGGAAAATTCAAGTTCCCCCAGAATAACCGAACAGATAAAACATTTATACAACTGAGTAGCGCAGCCTAAAATTAACCTACAAAGCTCTAAAAGCACTCCAGAGTGACCCTAAGACAGCGTTTTAAAGCATTTGAGAGAAAACTGTGTCGTTGGGTGACCCTGATAACTACATCGTTGAGTGAACCGTCCCAAAGTCTTGTAATAATAAATTCAATATTCCCTGAGATAAACTCCCGCTATTGAGCTACATCGGCTTGCTATACCACAGGCAGCCCAAGCTCTCTCTATGAACCACACAGGCAACACAATATGGCATGGAATTATAAGGGTTTGTATGGGATTTTCTACAAGATATCCATGGAGGTAGTTGAAAGTGAAGATTCTCAATAAAAAATGGCTTACCTTATTCCATACGTGTGTTGTTTGCTCCTGGTGTGGTTAGTTTACCTATTTAACTTGATTTAAGCGACTTTTTTGAATTCCGGTATTTCCTTCATAAAGAGAGGACAAGGCGAAACACCTCAGTCGGAACAGCCTGCCGAACGAAGTCAAAAGTCCCAGGCTAACATGTACCCACTGCCACAAATCCACCGCAGAATTCAAGGGCAAAGGTTGATCTTTCATTTCAATTCTCTAGCCACACAATCGCAGCCCTGCGAGCGACGCCAGGAGGCTCTTCGTGTCCCCATTGAAACGATAAAACGATGGAAGAGTTCCGTGTCTGTTTGATCCGCCTGTTTGATCAAATTGGTCAAACGTAAGATCAACGGCGAAAGCTCCGTAGAAACTGAGGAGGTACAATCATTTTTGAAGTGGAAGTCATGGTAAGTTTTCACGTTTATGCACCTTTGCTTTGTTTGTATAAAATATTCCGAGCTGATAAACTAAATTTGCTTCTCTTAGGGTATTGTGGAATTACGAACATTGTGAGGGAACTGTAACGGAAGCCAGCAAAATTTTATCCAGAGCATATGAAGAGAAAGGAAATGCCGCCGGCAAATTGAGCTCTGTTTTGCTCGGGAGAATTATTAAAGAACTTTGGAAAGATGAAGTTAAATTGGTGAGGCGAGGACCACATAAAGATCGTCGAACGTGTTACCTTAACTTGCGGCGTAAGGAACATATGCATGTCACTGAATTACCAGGAGAGACTTTCGAACAATTTCGAGGAAGTAGTCTAGAAATGGGACGTGGATGGAGCAAAATGAGTGACAACCCAAACAATGTGTCATTTCTTCGTTTCGAGTCGTGTTCGTTTAACAGTCACCGATTGTCCACTGAAGTCAAGATAACTCAACTCTCATCCTCTAGAATTTCTTACTCCCTTATTTCTCATGGCTGTGAAAGCGATATCGGGAAGTTCATGAACATCTCGTACATAGAACGATACCCATTAAGCCAGAGAATCAACTTGATTCTAGCATTCGTTGATAATGCGAAATTGTGCAAAGGCACAACATTGGAACATGGGGAAACCACAACCCTTCCTCATGCCACTGGCCAGTATGTTGATTTGACGGAAGGAACTGACATCAACAGTT